TCATACATATACATGGTGTCCCAAAAAACATGGGAATTCAGTGTCGAATTGTATATTGTCTTTGTTATGAATTAGCATTGTAATACCTAATTTCAAAAGCCATAGTATCTTTAAGCCTGCTAGAGTTTATTTTATGAAAAGGGTAAAAGACTGCAAAGATGTGTCTATACTGTCTCCGCAAGATGAACAGTGAAGACGGACAAGTTTACTCCGTTTGTATACTGCAATTTTCTTGTTTTACTAAGTACAACCGTATGCAGTCAAAACATAAACAAACAAAATGTGAACATAGCAGACAAAACTCTTACAGATTACAGCTTTCTCAGTAGGTATCACTATACTAAATCAAAGAATTATTTAAAAAGACGATATCGAATTCGTCACTGAATTCCTATGTTTATTGGGACACCCTGTAGTACATTTATAGATAGTATATTCATAGGGATTTTATATAAAAGAGATTTTCTTTGTAAAATGATAACTTTGAAACATTTTTTTTAAACTGTGCGTTTTTGTTTTCGTTTCTAATTCTTGTTCTTTTACTGTGAATTCTTAACTTGTTGTTTTTCGTTTGCTATTTGGATTAATGATAAAGTTCTATACATTTGTTCAATAAATTCGTTGTTTAGGAAAATAGTTTAATATCTCTGCTATATTTTATAGATTTTACGCAGTTCTCATGCTTACTAAATATCTCTGCTATATTTCTAGATTTTCCGTAATTCTCATGTTTTATGAATATGATATATTTCTGGATTTTCCGTATTTCTCATGTTTAATGAATATCTTTGCTATATTTCTAGAATTTCCGTAATTCTCATGTTTTATGAATATGATATATTTCTAGATTTTCCGTATTTCTCATGTTTAATGAAAATCTCTGCTATATTTCTAGATATAACATAATTCTCATGTTTAATAAAAATCTCTGCTTTAGTTCTAGATATAACATAATTCTCATGTTAAATGAAAATCTCTGCTTTAGTTCTATATATTGCATAATTCTCATGTTTAATAAAAATCTCTGCTATATTTCTAGATATTACATAATTCTCATGTTAAATGAAAATCTCTGCTATATTTCTAGATATAACATAATTCTCATGTTTAATGAAAATCTCTGCTTTAGTTCTAGATATTACATAATTCTCATGTTTAATGAAAATCTCTGTTATATTTCTAGATATTACATAATTCTCATGTTTAATGGAAATCTCTGCAATATTTCTAGATATTACATAATTCTCATGTTAAATGAAAATCTCTGCTATATTTCTAGATTTTCCTTAATTCTAATGTTTAATAAATATCTCTGATATATTTCTAGATATTAAATAATTCTCATGTTTAATGAAGATCTCTGCTATATTTCTAGATATTACATAATTCTCATGTTTAATGAAAAATCTCTGCTATATTTCTAGATATAACATAATTCTCATGTTTAATGAAGATCTCTGCTATATTTCTAGATATTACAAAATTCTCATGTTTAATAGAAAATCTCTTCTATATTTCTAGATATTACATAATTATCATGTTTAATGAAGATCTCTGCTATATTTCTTGATATAACATAATTCTCATGTTTAATGAAAATCTCTGATATATTTCTTGTCTAAGCTTGATGATAAAGTGGGGAAGGAAAAGTAAATGAAGAGATGATGAAGGATTCTGAGTAACTTGATGGGGGGCGGGAAAAAAGGAAGATGGGGGAGTAAAACATGCCAACGATGGAATTCTTCTTAATCTGTCAGAAATTTTTATTCTTTCTATTGTCTTTCATCTTTCTTTGTTTTTATTCCATTCTCATTTTTTTGCTTTATTCCATTATTTTCTTTTGTGGCCGACAATGAAAAGTTTAAATCTATTCATACGTATATCTAATTTGCTTGTCTGTATCAAATAAATGTTAAAAATACCGATCAGTCCCAAATATATGGCAGGTCAAGATTTAAACAATTAATTCAAAGAAATGTTTTTTTTTTTTGTTTGCACCTCCACAAATTAAAAACAAAAAAATACCGAAATTTAGAAAATCGAAATAATATTTAAGTTTTTAGCTGAATCATAAAAAAATCCAGAAAATTTAAAGTTGATTAAAGTATAGTTTTCTAATCTTAACCCTCTCTCCCCCCCCCCCAATGCCCGAACATGCCCCCTTCCCCTACTTTTCCTTTGCTAATAAAGTTGAAATAAAATATTAAACTTAAGAGTTTGAACTAATAATTTGATTAAAGAAACCTAAATCAAAGTTCGAATAAAACTTTCCTAGAATTTACCTTTTCTCTTAAACTTACATAGTGGAACCCTTTTAACCCTTTAAACTTAAGTAAACTGCAAGTAAGATCAAAATATACAGGGTGTTTCAAGAAACCACTCCTGTTTACAGATTCCATAAGCGTCTGATCCATTCAGGGTTCAGTCATGTGTTTGTTTCTATTCTGAACCAATAGAAATAGTATGGCGGTAACATCTATCTTTCTATCTATCTCATCATCCAATCAAAGTTATGAAACCTTCAATATTGGCGCTACCAGTAAATGGAAATATTTACTTCTACTAAAACTATAGTGAAACATGGCAGTTGGTTAATAGTTTAAAATGTCGTCTTCCATAATTAGTTGAGAGAGAATGATAAAAATATTACATGGCAATTATATGATGGTAAAGTTGATTTCAAAGTAAAATAAATTTAAGGAAAAGATGTTTTATAACAATATAAGCTGCAAAATGTCTTTTAATATACAATAAAATATATGGAAAAAGACATTCAAAACTATTCACTAACTGTCATGTTTCGTGGGACACCCTGTATGTTGTTTTTTTAATTAGAACTTCTCTTCGAAAAGAAAAGAAGAAGGATTTGAGTCTTTGCCACACAATCTTATTTTTAAAGTCCTAAATCTTTGAAACCAAATGTAGTAGACCTTAGATATTTGAAACTATGAATTGTGTTTCATTAAATAATCTAAGTTTGAAATATATAGGAATGAAAAAATTGATTTTGTGGCAAAGACTGAATTCCTTTGCAGCCAAATAAATTTGCCGTTTTTATACAAAAACAGAGAACAGAGAATATCGACCTCGCAAAGTCGTCAATTTAATTTGACCTTCTCCTCCTGGTTAGTTTGCAGGGATACGCTATACCATATCCTTCTCCTCCTGGTTAGTTTGCAGGAATACGCTATACCATATCCTTCTCCTCCTGGTTAGTTTGCAGGGAAACGCTATACCATATCCTTCTCCTCCTGGTTTGTTTGCAGGGATACGCTATACCATATCCTTCTCCTCCTGGTTAGTTTGCAGGGATACGCTATATCATATCCTTCTCCTCCTGGTTTGTTTGCAGGGATACGCTATACCATATCCTTCTCCTCCTGGTTAGTTTGCAGGGATACGCTATACCATATCCTTCTCCTCCTGGTTAGTTTGCAGGGATACGGTATACCATATCCTTTTCCTCCTGGTTAGTTTGCAGGGATACGCTATACCATATCCTTCTCCTCCTGGTTAGTTTGCAGGGATACGGTATACCATATCCTTCTCCTCCTGGTTAGTTTGCAGGGATACGCTATACCATATCCTTCTCCTCCTGGTTAGTTTGCAGGGATACGCTATACCATATCCTTCTCCTCCTGGTTAGTTTGCAGGGATACGCTATACCATATCCTTCTCCTCCTGGTTAGTTTGCAGGGATACGCTATACCATATCCGATCCGATCCATGAAGGAAACACACCTAAGTGTAGGTTATTTTTCGACCTAAAAGTTTTCAGATTTTGGGTAAAAGCGAGTAAACTAGTCAGAAACATAAACAGAAAATTTACCCAATTCGAAATATTTTTGTGTTCACAGTCACATCAAATATGTTGAAACTGTTTTATAATCATGAAAACTGAAAAGGCAAAATAGTATAATATCCCCCCCCCCCTTAAAATTGGGATAAATCTTAGATAATACTAGGCTTTTATGGCGCTTCGCACCCATCTTCTTTGTCAACTTTTAATTGTGGCTTTATCTGTGAGCATCTTCTTTTTGTACAGTATAACATTTTTTTATAGATTTGCGGATTTAATTTTTTTTCGCGCATTTTCAAATTTTAGATAATATAAAGTTACCCTCAAAAGGATAAGAATTTAAAGCACAGAATCAAATCTAGTTGTAAGATTAGATACGTCTGTGAAATCTTGTTGAAAAATTTCACAGAAAATAACAAAAATAGGTTTTTATTTAACTGGTTTAAAATCACAAAATATCTAACATTTACATTGCGATTTGCCAACAAGCACGATTTACATATATATATATACGAGATAAACATGGTTCATAAAAAGTTACTAAATAATTCACGATTTGTTTCATCACTTGATAATGCGTTGTGTTCTTAAAATGTTTTTTTTTTATTATTTCAATTTCACAGGTTCAAATAATGCCATTGGTAAATGACGGGGGTTTGGCACCAAATTTTGCTTCCAAAATTACTCTCAGGGAAGGCTGGCAAAAATACGGGTCTTTAATGTGAAATTTACAGTTTTATGAGTCCTTGTTTTCTGTGTATTATATCCAATGATTGGTTTTATGAGCCATTTTATGATTGGTTTTATGAGTCCATTTTATGATTCACGGTCTTTGAAACCTTAGAACACATGAGTTCTATTTGTTGATTTTTTGAGTTTGTAGATATTGTTTCTTATGATTTTATCTGTGCCAATTTAACAATTTGATTTACAACAGTATGTTTTGTGAGTCGATTTAGACAAGTTTTAAGAGTTCTTCTCTGTCAGTTTTATGAGTCCATCAGCCTATCCGTGAGTAGAGCCAGAACAAAAACGTTTATGTGAGGAACAACAGTTCTTTTCTATATATTTATGCTTACAATACTGATACGCAAAACTTCTGAAAAAAGAGAAAAATGTTATTAGAAAATTCTTTAAATAACTTAAGTGAAAAGAACAAAATAAAATTTATTTCACGTTTTTTTGTTCTTTGATTATCTAATCCTTATATCTTTGCAACCTAATTGCGTAGACCTTTTAAAATTATGATTTCTGATAAATCAAATAATCTAAGTTAAAAATATCAAAAATTTACACCATCAGGTTGACAAGATATTAAGATTAGAAAATTTAAGTTTGTTTGTATCAAAGACGTAATTCCTTAACATAGTAAATTAATTAAAGCAACATAAAATTTTAAATAAAAGATAAACAAAGCAGTTTAACTAAAGATGAAACAAATTAAGTTAAATTGTTGAAAGATTGCAAAATGGAAAAACAGAAAGTTTTTAACTTTTACAAAGTTGAATTAAATCAACAAGGAAGAAAAGGTGGAATGGAAAATTCTTAATTAATTAAAGAGTTAAAGGGACTGTACAGAAAAACACTAATAAAGGGACTGTACAGAAAAATACTTATAAAGGGACTGTACAGAAAAATACTAATAAAAGGACTGTACAGAAAAATATGAATTCAAAAACGATACGTCTTGAAAAAATATTTGAAATAATTGATTAAAATTGTAGATATTAATATAATATGAATTTTTATTAAACTAAACTGCTCATTAATAATCAAAGCTAATAGGTAATACAGCTTTTTGTGTTCATTACAAATTAAATAACTTTCTTATGTTTTGGAGCTTGAGTTCATTTTGGTTTTAACTTAAAACTCATTCAACATTGTCCAACTTCAAACCATAAAATGTGGAGATTTAATAAGAGATTGAAGTTTGCAGCAGCTTATCAGGTAGAGCAGAGGCCACCGGAGGGAATGTTTTTTATTTATTCAATGCTAAATACTCCATCGGAGGGATGGTAATTAATACTCAGAACACAAATTCTCTTCCGGAGGGATAGTAATTAACACTCACAACACTGATTACTCCGTCGGAGGGATGGTATTTGCCCTTGTGACACTAATTACTCCATCGGAGGGATGGTAAGGAAACTAATTACTCCCCCAAAGGGATGGTATTTAACACTCAGGACACTAATTAATTTATCTGAAGGATGGTAATTAACACTCAGAACACTAACTACTCCACCGGAGGGATGTTAATCAACACTAAGTACACTTATTACTCCATTGGAGGGATGATAATTAACAATTTTGGAATACTTATTACTCCATCAGAGTGATTGTAATTAACAGTAAGGACACTAATTACTACATCGCATGGGTGGTAATTAATTTAATTAATGTCTTCAGTGTTTATTACCATCCTTCTGGTGGAGTAATTAATGTCTTCAGTGTTAATTACCATCCTTCTGGTGGAGTAATTAATGTTTTCAGTGTTAATTACCATCCCTCTGATGGAGTAATTAATGTCTTCAGTGTTAATTACCATTCCTCTGGTGGAGTAATTATTGTCCTGAATGTTAATTACCATCCCTCCGATGGAGTAATTAATGTACTGAGTGTTAATTACCATCCCTCTGATGGAGTAATTATTGTCCTGAGTGTTAATTACCATCCCTCCGATGGAGTAATTAATGTACTGAGTGTTAATTACCATTCCTCTGGTGGAGTAATTATTGTCCTGAATGTTAATTACCATCCCTCTGATGGAGTAATTATTGTCCTGAATGTTAATTACCATCCCTCCGATGGAGTAATTAATGTACTGAGTGTTAATTACCATCCCTCCGATGGAGTAATTAGTGTACTGAGTTTTAAATTACTATTCCTCCGAAGGAAATAATTTCCCTCCGGCGGCCTCCGCTCCAGCATGGCGGAGGGAGGAGGGAACCGAATATGCTGCTGCAAACTTCAATCTCTCAAATATTAAGACTTAAAGGAAATTAAATTTCAAGTAACCCTACATTCATGAAAGAATGACAACGCCCAATTTATAACGGTACTCTTGAAACCATTATCCTGAACATTAATATGGAAGATAAGCTGCTGTTTTTCTAAGTTTAAAAGTGTTTTATTTTGTTAATTCTATATGTTTCTTGCAGTAGAATTGTAGAAACCACAATTAAAAATAATTAGTTTAAAAAAAATAAACTTTGATATGTGATTTATACAAGGCTGCCGTTTTGATTAATATTGCCATCTTTGCATGGAGATTGTAGTCTCACTTGAAATTACGCTTACAGTCCCTTTGATAAAGATTACCTTAAAAATGCTTTACAAGAGAGACTACCAGCAATATTTGTTATTCGATCCTCACATCCTTCCTCTAACAGATCTAAATAAACAAATTTGATTATCTAATATGTTTAAGGGTGAGTATGGTTGAGATACAGGGGTATTCATGAAGAATGAGACTGTAAAGACGATCTCAAGGGTAAATTAAGCCTTCTGCCTTAAATCTAGTCGTTTAATGGCTTATTCAATAATTTGACAAAGGAATTAGCAAGTTTACATTTGCTGGGAATTATGAATTGAATGAATGAGACGGTAAGAATTCTGTACAGTCGTCTCAGAAGTCTCATTCTTTGATGGTAACTCTGTCAGTAATCATTTGTAACAATTCAAGAATTTGTCAATTTTCGTTAAATCTTTTAAATATATTTTTGGAAAATTTTATTTAAAAGGAAAAAGACTAGGCTAGGCTAGACTGCAATTGACATAAAAAATTAATTTTAACAAAATTTGAAATCTAAAGCATTTAAAAAATAATTTAACATATAAAAAATAAGTTGACATTTAAAAATTGAACCCTACTCCGGGAAGAGACAGAGGTATTATTGCTTGGAACTTACAAAAATGGTTAAAGTGTTACGCCCCGTATCTAATTTATTGTCAGTATAGGATGGAATATAACCAGTTTTTAAAAACAGTTGGGTACATTTAGTACTAAGGGGTAGAGATGGACATGATTTTGTGAAAGACCAACATTTTTTGTGATTAATGGTGTCTTTCAAAAAAAAATTACAATGGACGTACAATTTTAAAAATGATAATTTTTTTAAACGAACAATTTTAAATTGTCTGACCGATCTTTAAATTGTCTGACTGATCTTTTCCAAATTTTCCAATATATTTTTTAAAAACAATTTTATTGAACAAATGATTTAACTGAATGAACGATTTTACTAAACGATCGTTCAATGAAAAAAACTAAAAAAAAGACGGAAAGTTTTAAGTGAACGATAATTGGACACTGGTCAAATGTAGGTTTTTTAGTCAAAATACAAGGTACTCTATTTTTTTCTTCTGCATATAATTTGTATGACTATTCTCGAATGTAAGACAACTTTAGTGAATTTGTAGCCGTAGCCCATTCCAAAAAAAAATAAAAATATTTATTTCACCTTAAAATACACTTAATTTGACAAAGCATCCTTAAAAGATACATAAATATAGAGAAATGCATGATTTTATTTCTTCCAGACAAATTTATCAAAACAAAATAACATCTTAATGTAACTATCTAAGGAATCAGACTCGCATACTGGAATAAGTTACAACAGATTTGTGCAGTGTGGCGCCATGAGACGTGTGGGTTTCTGAAAACACAAAACCTAGATAACGTTTTCTTCATATTCTTGTGAACACTCTCTGATGTTTGTTCTGCAAAAAATCCAAGAGGTTTCTGAATCTTGTTTAGGAACTCTTCTAAATGAAATTGTATGATGTGTCCTTTCCATCCAAACGAGAGATTCAACTTAAACTTTTCCTTCACATATTCCTTCACAACCTTGTTTTTGCTTTGGTTATCAATGTTAAAATTTAGATCTTATGGAAACTTTATTTAAAACAATTTACACTGTAATAAAATTATTTCCAAGAGCATTTCCTGAATTGTTTCTATAAATTTGTGTATGCTAGCTGAATAGGTTGGAGAGAGGTTCATTCCAAAACAATCCTCAACAACTAAATAATTTTCAATTTAAATAATATTTCTATATCTTGCATTTCTAATCTTTAAATAAATAATTTTAAATTACTTAATTTAAACATTTAAAGTGAAGTTTATATTTTTCGTTAGTGTTTCATGATTTAAATTCTATATAGCTTTGAGTCAATCGAATACAAATGAAAATGAGTATTTGTCACAACTCTGATTTTCTAATCCTTATATCTTTGCAACCCAATATCTTAAACATTAGATTTACTTCAAATTCTGTTTGATAAAATAATCTAAGTTTGAAATATCAAAGGTTTACATAATCAGTATGCAAAAATATAGGGATTAGAAAATTTCAGTTTGTGGCAAAGGCTCAATTCCTTCTGAAGCATATTTACACAAATTCATAAAATGGTTTATAAACTTTACCTGCTGAAAACCTTTTCAGTAAAAGCACGAGAGGTTGGAATTCTTGAAAATCATGTTTTATGTATTCATCTAATTCATTCAATTTCTTCAAAAGCTTGGAACTATTTTTTCCGTCTAAACCTCCACCATTGTAACCATGCCAAAAAATCCCATTCTCAGTAAACCAAGTTTGAAGAGATGGCTGAACTTTCATGATATTTACAGTGTTGGTTACAATATTCATTAGCAAATGAAGTTCAGGGATAGGAACAACTTCCAAAACCAGTTTTTCATCAGGTTCATTCAACAGAACAGGATTTATAACATTCTTGNTTTTCTCTTCTCTTTTGGCATCCTGACTGTACTTTTTAGAATGTTTTGCGGATTTTTTTGAAAAAATTTCGCGGATTTTCTGATATATTTTTCATAATTGAAAAAAAATTATTAATATATTTTATATTAATATTTCTTAAAAAGGGCTACCCTTTGCAATTCGATAAAGATGTCAAACATTTAAGAATAGACAACGAAATTATATGCAGAAGAAAAAAATAGAGTACCTTGTATTTTGACTAAAAAACCTACATTTGACCAGTGTGGAGGGAGTGTAAAGAAATAAAAAAAATCCAAAAACCTGTGCATGGTTTAATATTCAAATTTTAACAAATATTTGGATACAAAAATAATACTGGATTGAATGCAGCAATAATTTAAACTCTAATTTATCCTAATTTAAAATTTAGGCCATACTTAAAATTTGCTAAAATTATGCAAAGCATTTATATCTGCCAATATACAAAGACTTGAAATCAGATCTAACTGTTTGCACAATATGATGCAAAACGTAATATTGAAACAAAATAGGTTTTGCAATCACAAACATATCTAAACTCAATGTAGCAACTCATCTTTCCCAAATAAAAACCCAAGACGCCCAGGAAATGATGTAGTTTAAAAACAACTCACCTAATTCATTTAATTCATCATCATCGACCCTTTCCTCTAGTTCTTTTTCCTCAACAGAAGATTTCGTTGTAGTAGTTGGTGGAGGAGCTGTTGTAGTTGTAGTTGTTGAAACTATTATTGATGCTGTGGTTGTTGTTGAAGACGTTGAAGATAACTCCGCTTGTCGATCCATCAGTTTCAACTGAAGACGTCTCCACCATGGCAATGTAGTGGATTGAGGAGGGGTTGGAGGGGTAGGAGTAGGATAGGAGGGAGGAGTAGGAGAAGGTTGGGAGGAAGGAAGATCCCAGTCAATCCTATTGCAGGGAAGGTTTGAATAAAGAAGAAATGTACATAAATATAGCATTATATCAAGATTACAAATGTGTGTGAAACTGGAAAGCAAAACAACAAAGTTTAAACATCTTAAAATGAAGAAGAGAGTTTCTAAAGAGTATGTACTAAATCACAATTAACTGACTATTGAAATGACTAGAATCGTTGCAGAATTTGAACAATTATGTTGCGGCGGTGAAAATATTCACATTTTGTAATCTTAACGTATTTACACAAAGAAGAAAGAACAGCAAGATCATAACATGCAGGGTTAGTGTTTCATGGTTAAAGGAAGTATAGAGAAGATGAAGGCTAGGCTCGGATGACTCTATGTCCATGATTTCTGAACCTATGCTTGTCAGGCACTTCCTCAAAGGTTGTACTAATTGCTGTTCCAGTTCTTCGGAGGAAGGCATCTCCGTAGTCGATTGCGTTCTCATTTTCAGATATACATTTGCCGTTCAAACACATCTAAACAAATATATAGAATTCTGATAAGATGTGCTCTTCATGTCTGCTTTAAACCCAAATCCAATTCTGTACTTTCAATGAAGAATTTAGATGTTTTAAATTGTACCTGATTGTCACCACAGCGTGAACCTTCTGCTGCAGGTCGATATGATACACAGTATCCAGACCCGGCATCAAAACAGAACAACTGAGCGCACACGCGGTCGTCTTTAAAACAGGCAGATGTTCCTCGATCCTTGCGGCATTGTGCATCAAGAGAAAGCAGTTTTCCCGGGAGAACACGTGGCAGGCTTTCATCTTCGTGAGGGGAATTGTACATGCAGGTGGCAGTTTCTCCACTAAAAAGAAAGATTTTATTAAAACCCCATAATTCAGTACTTGTTTAAATAGATACGGCGCTTTACAAAAATGAATAATATTGATCTGAATTAGTTCAAATTACTGCAATTCTACCTGATTTCTCATTGGACAATTATCAAAAATGCTGACCAATAAAATATTTTGAATCAATTTGAATCAGTTTTGTTCATCTTACTTGAGAAAATGATGGAATTGATTGACCGTGCAGTAGCTCCACTTAAACCCTTTACTGGTGTGACGGAGATCACTCATGATGTAACCATCCTCCCATCTACAAATATATAAATCAGTTAAAGAGACTGTTCAATATTTCAAGGGATCCCTTCACAACGGTTTCCTTATTACCTTTTACAGAGCATCAGAGTAACCACAATTGAAAATAATCAATTTTCAGGCAGCAAAACAAGAATAAGATGAGAGAAACTGACGCTGATATTCGTATTTTTATGATAAAATGGATCACTCTCAATTTTGTTTTCTCTGTAAAGGGATTAGCGGATTTATGTGCTAGACGGAAAGCAGGAAATTAAGCGAATATAACACATTTTAAGGTAGAAAAACAAGAATAACTTTATTATTATTGATCTGATAAATGTTGGGAATCAGGAATTACGAGTAGAGTCTCTGTAAACTATGTACGTCTCTTAGTAAATGACTTTTTGTCTCAAATTTGAAACATAATGAAGAACGAAAAAAAATCTTAAAATTGCTCATAGCTTCTAAAATAAAATTTCCTTTCATCAGAGCAGAAAACTTTAGAATGGTGGATATCGGTGGATATCGAGATTAATGCTTGGTCCTCTCTTTTTCTTAATATCGAGACTAACCTAATCTTGTACTTGCATTCTGAAAAGTGTATAAAATTCAACCAATCAGAGTCGTGTGTATGAATCCGAAAAATTTGAAATTTTGCACGCCATTTAAGATTAATATACAGAAACGGGAGAGACTCTCTAATTTTGAAAAAAACGGTTGTTGATTTTTCTCTACTATATCCAAGAAAGAACGGTTTAAGAAGAAAATCAAAAGTGTGTCCATTGGATACTCAGATTAAGTAATCGGAGTAAAGGATATCTCATTCTAAATTTTCCTCTCGTCAGGTATACAAAATACGTTTCAATGCTAATTGTTTATATCTCCCCAGAATTTTTTTTTCTATATTTAACAAAGGTGAAAAAGTTGCATTATTAATAAGCATGCTTTATAAAAGGTTAGCAGTATATGTTTAGGGTCATGGAATTTTTGGAATTTAATCTAGAGATTGAGAAAAAGAGGAGATCAGCATTAATCTCAACATCCGCAATTCAAAAATTCCCAGCTCTGTGTAAAGTTTATTGACAGGGTGTCCTACATCATATTAAACTAAATACCGAGCTAAATGGATACCACTGTTTATAGTTTAAATGAATTTATCAGGTTTTTTAGAAATATCTATCTATCTTTAATCAACTAAATATTAGATAGATCATTTTAAACTTTGTAAGCGCTTCACAGTGAACTACATAGAAGGTAAAATTGATGATATATGGTACGTCGTTGTGACCTTGTAACTCCTCTAGATTGGTATAAAGAGAGCAAAATTATCCAAAACGCAAATTCAATATTTGAAATCAATTCTCATATATTGTCCACTCTAGAATGATGATTTTGAAAATCGGGTTTTAAAAATTATTCAACAAATTTAACAAAAATTCTGCAGTAAACTAATAAGTTAAATTAATGATGTAGTTAATGATGAACAAGCTGACCTGCATTTAACAGCTCCTGGACCTCCTAGGTAGGAGGGGGGAGGAGAACCATCATGAACAGCTCCAAGTCTAAATATTAAGTTTTTTTTAAATATTTAGTTTTTTTATTTTAATTTTAACAATATTCTACATTCGTGTTCCATCATATTCGGCTAACACAGATTTAAAGGAAAACAGACGTTATTTAAAATATAATTCAGATTTCATTGTTTAGTTTTCTGGTTTAGGACTTATATCACAATTCACAGTTAACACGTGCACATAATTTGCATCTGGACATAATTTGCATCTGGATTTGTAAAAAAAGAAAATGACTAAAAACTTTAATTGTCTTTTTGGATATAAAAACCATTCAAGATCATTCCGATGTGTATTGTTCAAAAATGTTTTGATTTATTGAAAGATTTTTCGTTATTGACATCATTCTTGACTTGATATAATCTATTGACATCATTCTTGACTGGATATAATCTATTTTAAGTTCAGAGTTAAGGATTTTGAAGAAGGTTAAGCATTATATTTTAACTGATACTTAGTTTTTCTTTTTAATGTTTTAGATCTAAATCGGAAAATAAAAAGTGCAAGTACAAATGTCTAAAAAAACATTTATAATTTGTAAAGCTTTTAACACAGAATTTGTAATAATTAGAGCTTTAAAGGATTTATAGTTTTAGTGCTCATTTTACACATCACTAGGGTTTCCAACCAACAAAACCTTTTGCGAAAAAATGCAAAATTTCGCGAAAATTTTCGTTCGTATTTGGCATTTTTTTACGAAAATAAATTTTCCGAAAGGAAGCGAAAACGATGCGGAATTTCGTGAAAAAAAATTTGCATAAAATTGCGAAATTTGCATGAACAAAAAATGCAAAATTTCCCGGAAAAAAACCGAATATTTTAGCATTATTAGTTTTATTTCGCGTTTTTTTTTCACCGAAAATTTTCGATTTTTTTTTTCTTCGAACGGAATGCGAAAAAATATGAATTTTCGGCGAAAAACAAATTTCGTGAAAGGATTTCCCAATTTCGCTGGAAAGCCTACACCTAGCTTTTAATCCTGTCCAGTCCTTTGAAAAACTGGTTTAAGTTTGGAGTGTCTGGAGCTAAACCTTTACATGGTGAATACAAGAATTAGAATTTCTCGACATTTGAATAGAATCCATTCTCTCAATACTTCAACCATTGATTGATCAGTGTTCCGTCCGCGCTTTCATCCAGGCAATCAATCAATCACTTTTTATTCATTCAGCAATTCATCTGGTTGTATTAATATTGTTTTCAGTGGTCCTCACAATAGTCTGGAATATAAAAATGTCTTTCTCTTAAAAAGAGCAGGCGTTATCCATTTTTGTCAACTCTATTTTAGTGTAAAATGTTTTTATTAATTTTAGGTTGGACGATAAATGCACAAAATATTGATCTCTCTTATTGAAGAAGAGATTAATGAATTGCAAAGAGAAGATTATTGTTATCTCATATACCCTTGATTTTAAGGGAGTAATAGTTAATCAGACATGCTAATCTATGAACGAAGGGTCCCTTATAATTACGTCTAAATGCAGTCCTTTTAAAAGCACTGTTAGATGAAATATATATTGAATATATATGGTGAATATGTATGGAAGGATGTTTAAACTGTTCCAAATAAAGATTCTGATATCAAAATATTTGAAAATTTATGAATAATATTTAAATCTTCACATTACAAAGTAAATTATTCAAATTAAGTTTATCATGATTATAAATGAATAAATAATTCTAATTTTCATCAATTTAAGGTAATATATTTTCCTTTGTACTTTAAATCATAAGAAATCTTATTTTGATACAAGAAACCTCAACATTTCGAAACTACTGACATTTTTTACGAAATTGTTAAATTAATAATTTTGAACAAAATGTTAATTGTTTTCGGACAATATCAGAAGTTTGATATGAATGTTAAGTTTAGCTAATTTAAATATATGTTATGAGGGTCAATATGTAGAGAATAGGTGATATATACAGGTCTAAATATCAGTGCAGTTCCGTTCCAACAACAAGCGTTTATAATTTCACTCCAAATCATATCTTGGAGCAACAACAATATAAGAAAATAAACATAAATTTGTAATTTATCCTCTTAAAAGAAATTGAGTCTTTGCCACAAACTTAAATCTTCTATCTTTACATCTTTCCAAATTGATGGTGTAAACTTAGATTAATTGATATCACGGGCAGCCGTAGTACATTTGAATTTCCGAGACGGGTCAACTTCTCCGGTCCCAGTTTGTACTGTATCGCCCGGACATTGGGTAAATAAAGCAGACACGTAAAAGGACTAGCCGGTGCAACAAGGTTGACGCGGTTAGACTGAAGGTTGAATTTACTTTTACTGAAGGGTCAGGGGTGCGTGATATTACTGTAATTCATAGTTCTACGAAATTTGGGTTGCAAAGATATAGGAATCAGGAAATCAGAGTTTGTTGCAAATAATCCTTTGGGGTTTCTCTCCATTTTGCTCCGACATTTTTAGAAAAATGTTGAAATTCAAGATGGCTGAATATTCCGTTTTGTAAACATTTAATCCAGCACGTCAAAACAAGGACAACATGGATAAAAATTAATTCAACTATTTCAATGTGTGGGTCGGAAGGGGGAGGGGGGGGGNATATTATTCATTGTTATTATTATTATTATTTATATTATTCAACTATTTCAATGTGTGGGTCGGAAGGGGGAGGGGGGGGGTGGAAGGGTGATGGATTAAGAGATGTAAATTATGATAAATTGCTAGAAGACCGATAACAGAGTAAAGTTTTCTAAATAGAACCAAAAATTTAAACCAAGGAAAAAAGTAAAAACAAAAATATTTTTAAAAACATTTCTTTTATTTGAATGCAACCCTGGCTGCCCATTTATTGTTTTATAACTATTTTTATAACATAATTTATAAACAAAAGATCTTGTTTTTAACCCCGAGAAGTCAATGTCCTCCAAAGTGACCATGAGTCCCCGAATGGGCGTTTTAAGATCAAACCGTCTGATATTCAAAAACCCTGTTTGGTGTTTAAAATGGATCTGTATAACTCACATTTAATACAAGTTCGAAATCATTAAAATCAGTTTTAAATTCAAAAATGGTGATTTACAAGAAAAATAGAAACCCATATAAGGATATTATATTCTGCACAGTTTTGAATTTAAAGAAATTGAATTCCGAGCCTCAAACTCAAATTTTTCAATTTGTGAAATATTGAAAGCACTGCTAGATATCCTCTTTTTATTACTCTTGACACTAATCCAATCTTACGTAAATATCCGGGAAATTGTCAAAACTGCAGCCAACCAGAGTGTTGATTGTAGAACAATCATAAGTTAAGAAAATTCAAAATTTTGGCGCTTAATCAATGAGAAAACTCTCAGTGGTCCATTGGGATATCATAAAGAGAAGATTAGACAGGAAGTCAAAAGTGTCGACATTGGATACAGAGATTTATTAATCGGAATTCAGGGATTTATCCAAAACAAGAGTTTTCAGCTCGATGGTTGCAAAAGCAAACCGATTATAAAATTAGAGTTTGAGACGATTTATCATGTTTGTTGATATTATACAATACTTACAAGTGTCCAAGTTCATGAGCTGCAACAATAATTCCTGAGAATCCCCCTGTATCCTCCACTATAGCTACACTGTTCACCTAGATATTCATTAAACATGAGCCGAGACAATTATTCCTGAGAATACCCCTGTATCCTCTACTACAGCTACACTGTTGACCTAGATATTCATTAAACATGAGACATTAATTCCTGAGAATCCACCTCTGTATCCTCTACTATAGCTACAATGTTCACCTAGATATTCATTAAACATGAGACATTAATTCCTGAGAATCCACCTCTGTATCCTCTACTATAGCTACAATGTTCACCTAGATATTCATTAAACATGAGACATTAATTCCTGAGAATCCACGTGAATCCTGTACTATAGCTACACTATAGTAATCATATCACTCTATAAATAGATTGTCAATTGAAATTACATTATGATCGCTAAATTTTAGATTTTATGATTATAGTGGTTAAACCCTTCAATCAATTTTTCTGCAAATATGATTTCTCGAAACGTGATTGCTAGAAACTGAGATACAAGAAATAGAAATACTGCATCCTTTCTAAACAAATAATTAACGAAACCTATACATTATTTCGACGTTTTACATTTTTTTGAATGTTTGTAGTCCCCCCTTCCATACAACAAGATAAACAGCGTTTGTAGCCATGACGTTAACAGCAATCATATCTCCAGAACTACAGGGTTACCCACACAGAATGATACTGTAAAGACGACCTGAAACTCTTTAAATCTGACGATTCCAAGGTTGGTTAAAGTCTACAGTTGCAAGGAACCGATATCCTAAGGAAACATACTTATAAATGTTGTACAGTCGTCTATGGGTAACCCTGTATTTTATAAAGTTATCAAACCTTCTCTAATCTCTTGTTAACAACACAGGCTCCACCCACGTAGGCAAACCCAGCTGTTCCTCGGTTACAGTCACCGTGCCGGGTCTTCCGCCTGAATTATATAAAATAAAATATTAAAGGGATTTAATGTCACCCTCTCTACTAAGTAATGGAAATAATAAATTTTTAATATAAAAAACATGGATATCTATTTTTGTCAACCATTAACTATGAAACATGTATGTAAAGTCGTCTTTAACTTAGAACCTCCTCTCGGAGACACTAAAGTCCAAACCAAATAATTTAAAGCGACCTGATCAGATAAAGCTTATAATGGTACCATTGTAAATCAGACATTGTCATTTTTGCATGGAGGGTCACTTGAAATTAAGCTTTAATACAAACCCATTAAAAAATAGAAAAGCTGGAAACTATAGACCTAGGTCGTAAAGTCGGATACAAGTCAAACTAATGTAAAGGAATTGAGTCTTTTCCTCAAACTCTAATTTTCTAATCTCTATATCTTCGCGACTTGATATTTTAAACTTATAATTGTTATCTAATAGATCTTGTAACAGACATATTTAAGGTCTACGAAGATAGGGATCAGAAAATTGTGTCAAAGACTTAATTCCTTTCATGTTAGGTTAACATCTTACACGTTGTCAATGGAAAGAACAAATAAGTTTTGAATTTATAATTTGTAACAATTATTATTATTCATTGTTATTATTATTATTATTTATATTATTATTATTATTATTATTAGTGGTATCATGGCCATCATAAATTTACTACATTAAGTCCCATAAGCCACTTGTCCCCCCTGGCCTGGGGGGGGCCTCAAGCTCTAATCATATGTAGTGATATATCCTGGTATCCTGGTATCCTGGTATATATATCTATATCAATGATTATTTTCCCATGAATTTGGCTCCTCTGCTCTGCTCGTATCTTCAACTTAACAAACTTCATCTTTCATATCCGCTGGAACATCGTATTTCATATTTCCGAATATTACCGGATATCTCCGGGTATTTACAGAAATATCCGGCTATTTGATCCTTTTAAAGGGACTATTAAGGTAAAGTAAGTTATAATAAAACATAATAGGAGCGTGGTTAAAATTTCTAGTTTAAAATTTGTTTAAACTTTAATTTAAATACAATATCACATAAATATGAGTTTTCGTATAAATTTAAGACAGTTTTAAATCAATTTCTCGAGACAGGGACATCAGATAGATCTAATATTGGTCGCGATCAACTCCTAAAATTGTTAGGCTTCAACCTATACCCCACTTTAATTTTACTTTAACAGTCCCTTTAATAAATCAGGAAGGTTATAAACCGCAATGAATGTAAGGCAAGGAAAGTCATTTCAGTGGTGTACGAATTTTTTGTACTGCAGTGTACTGTCTTTGGACTCTAGTGTAAACACAAGAGTAGGGGTGTCACAGCCTGACATGGGATCCATCTTTCAAATAAAAAATCAATGATATATTGTGGTCATAGGAATTTATAACATAAATGATCAAAATTAAAAAAACTTTAAGTCATTCAATATTTTACTAAGGCTGTGGAAAAACTTCTGCATTTTTAATTATTTAACAATGAGACCCAATAAATGTACAAATTGGATCACAACGTCTTTTTTGTTGAAAAAAAATCTCAAGAACAGAAATAAACTATCAACAATAAACTATATTATGGTCGTTTTTGGGTAAGGAATATATAATATATAATGAATGTAAGAGACAAATGTATCGAAATAAATGTAATAGACAAATGTATTTAAATATGTAATTAAAGTAAGAGACAAATGTATATATTCCAATATATAATAAATGGAAGAGGGAGAAGTAATGATCAAAAGGCATCATAATTATAACTAAGAAAAAGCCCCAAAACCAAAGAAAATTTTACAAATAAACGGAGGAGAAAACTTGAATTTGCACAGAAAAATCAAAGATTGAGATGATGAGCATGAAAATTTAAAAGATTGGACGATTGATAATTTTTTTTAATCACTTACCCTCCAAATAAATGTTTTCACAGACAGTACTAAGGAGAAGTAAATTCTCCATTGAACCCCCACTGCAGTATGGAAACAGTACAACAAAATGGCCGTTTTACACTTTTTTCTAGTAAATTCCTCTCTAATTTATATTCTATTCTCTTTGCGGAAATCTCAATTATGTGTGTTTACATAAAATGTGAACTGCAGTACAATTTTTGTGTAAACGACTATATGAAGGCTTAAGAAATTTTTAAATCATTCTGTAATTTAAATTTGGACCCTATTATGACGCTATACGCATTGATTCTAGAAAAATAGCTGTTGCATTATGTTGACAAATACTAGATTGAGTCTAACCTAACCAAACTTCTAGCCCCACCCTGAGTAAAACCGAACCCAACCAAGAATCAATGTTTTACAAACCAACCTTAAACCACACTCTTGATGTGTTGGTAAATATTTTAGTTCATAAAACTACAAAGAGGGGCTGGTTCTTGGAGAGTTTTTGGGTGTGGGGGAGGTAGGGGGTGAAGAGGTAATAGGAGGGGTGA